AGGGGAGGCGTCCGGACACGCGGGAACACCCACAGCGGCTGGACACCTGTGAAAAAAAATACCCATAAAAACAAAGTTTTTCACTATAAATCCTTTATATGCGTGGCGGTTAGAGTCATCTCGTCCTCTGGCTTGAGATGGCTGCCACCTATGGGTCAGATGATTGCCTGCCACCATTAAGCAATTGGTAATTAAATATAATTTTTTTTTTCCTAAAAGTGTGAAATTTTGGAAAAAAAATTTTTCACGAAAATAAATTGTCACGCACAACGAGTCTGTGTGGAAAATGTCAGCTCGATTAGATCACGGGAAGTGGGTTCAAAAACGACCGAAAGATTTGCACGGTCGTAAGCGCGCAAGCAAGCAAGCAAGTGAACTTAATATAAAGGATTTAATAAAGAGCTTGATAGCTCATAGAATTCCTTCCAGTATACATAAATATTCTGATTCTGGCTGCGCCTTTTGGCTGTTCACGCTCCACAGTCGGAGCTTCACGTGGCCTTTTTTGCTCGAAGATCCAAGCTCCCCAATACAATCATCTGGCCGTGATTGTATTGCCGCACGCGCGAACACACACACACACGCGGGTGAGCTTAGTCTTCCAATCGAGCGATGTACGCTGTTACATCAAAGTCCGGAAAATGGCATCCTCACGTGCTGTCAATGTAAAATAAAAGGTTAAGGTGCAGGCCCTGTAATATCTTGATCGTGCAACTGCTGGTTGGAAGGGTTTCCAGTAGAGGGGGGCCTTAAGAGAGGCCCCTTCTAGAGGATTGCTTTTGCTTGCTCTTAGGGGCCGTCCATAAATGAGGTCACGCCCTTTTGGATTAGGTTTTTTACCCCCCCCCCCTCTCCCGTTACACGACGTCACAAAAAGTCAGACCCCCCTCAAATATGACGTCACAAAGCTCTGCTCTCCCCCCCCCCCCTCCCCCCGAAACCATATTTCCATTTTGAAAATAAAACATGCTTCAAATCGCTTTAAACTATTGTCATTGTAGTGTGTATCAAATGTGGCGCTGCATTCTGATGTTGTAGGAGTGTTGCCATAACAATTCTATACTTACATTTTGGGATGTGACGTCACATTTCTCAACCCCCCCTCCCTCGTCACACATCGTCACAAATGTCTGACCCCCTCCCCCCCCCCTATGTGCGTGACGTCATTTATGGACGGCCCCACCACACGCCACGCGACTGTGCTTTACCCAGCTGGGTGGACGGATACAGGTGGGGGGGAGGGGTGGGGGGGCTTAAGACAAATGCCCATTGTTTCACCTGCCATGCCGGGCGATCGAAGCGGACCCCCTCTTTATTTTCATTGTACTTGCCTCCATCAATCCTCGGCAACTTTGTTTCCGTGGGCGAGAAACCCTCGCCCAGTGCAAACTCTAATTCAGACGTGTTTATATATATACATCATCGTCGCGCAAAAAGCTTTTCAACAATGACTGCTTAAGCGTAATCACAAACAGTGAGCGACCGTGTTTTGTTGAATGCGCATGAGACTATAGGTAAAACATTTCATTTCAATATTTTAATTATCACATTTCAACCACCATTCTAAACACACATTTTGCGCCGTTAAATACAAGTGGCAGTCTTTAATGGCGAGCGTGGAAGTTGTCCAAAATGGGGAATGGCTTATTGTTCAGCGATAAAAAAAAAAATACCCTGAGTAATTGCCGTTACGTGGGAGCCAAGCAAAAAAATTCTAAAATTTTTGAAGTTAATGGACTGAAGAGAGATACTGCTGGCTTGCCAAAGTGGTGTGTCCCCAATTGTTTCGTTGTCCACGTGCACTGCTTTCGAGCGCTTGAGTCACGGTGACAGCGCATAGGAAAGGGAGAGAGTGTTGGGGGTGGGGAGGGGGAGACCACACGGTCTTCTGTCATCATCAGCAGCGTCATTTTACATCATCATCATCATCAGCACTGGTCTATACACAGCTGGATTAAGGCCTCCGCCAAACCGCCGCCAGCTCTCACGAACCTGCGATGTATTAAGGGGCCGTCCATAAATGACGTCACCCACCTAGGAGCGGGGGGAGGGGGTCAGACATTTGTGACGATGTGTGACGAGGGGGGGGGGGTTGAGAAATGTGACGTCACGTCAAAATGCGCAACTTTAAATAAATATAGACAACACGTTCTACTTAATTAAATACACGTTTAAATAAATGTTTTCTCCTACAACATCAGAGTGCAGCGACACATTAAATACGCACTGCAATGACAATAGTTTAAAGCGATTTGAAGCAGAGCTTGTGACGCCATATTTTAGGGGTGGTCTGACTTTTTGTGACGCTGTGTTACGGGGGGGGGGGGGGGTCAAAAATCGTCCAGAATAGCGTGACGTCATTTATGGACGGCCCCTAATCCGCCTAAGCACCCGTACTTCATCATGCCCGTCAGTGCAGTCCTGGTGAATGTACTTATGTATGTTGAACTTCTCTCACACCGTACGTAGCCAACTGTGCTAATCGGAGCTGCGGGGGAAGCACAGCAAACTAAATACAAAAAGCACGTCTAAACAAGTGAGCTGTCAACCTAGATTATTTAAAAGTGCATAGCTCCAATGGATTCCCAATATCGGAAGGAAGAGCATTCCAGACGGCCGGAGTAGCACATCAAAAGCGCACAATGCCGTGACCATCTCTGTACAATGGTTAGCCACGAGATGTGAGGGGAAGTGAAGAACAACAATGGATACAATAATTGGTTTTACCCTTTCTCGCAATACAACAGGTGTTAAGATGTTAAAACACCAAGCTGAAATAGTTTTGCAAGGAATCATGTATGCATTACCCACATATACTTGTGGTGAACTTGCAAGCAAAACACATGCTCTGGTAGTACATGCATTGTCTTTGAAACTGATTGGTTCACACCAGAGACAGCTTTCGTTAGAGCCTAGTCTCAAACAGTGTTAGACCAGAGGACGCCAAATGGCGAACAGCACAAAGACAATGCCACTATCAGGACATTGATAGCTCGGAGTGAGTAGCTACATCATGGGACCTCCCTTGCCATTACCAAAATATAAGAAGAGGTTCTACCCTTTCTGGAAATAAAATAAAAAATGTTAAGCTGTTAACACGCCTTTTGGCGTCCTCTGGTCTAACACTGTTTGAGACTAGGCTCTAAAGAAAGTTGCCTCTGGTATGGACCAATCAGTTACAAAGACAATGCATCAAATACTGCCAGAGCACCTTTTTTGCTTGCAAGTTCACCACAAGTTTACATGACTAATGCAGACATGATTGCTTGCAAAAGGTATCTGTTTGTTGTTTAAACATTTTAGCACATGTTTTATTGCCAGTAACGGTAAAACCTATTCTTATAACTTGATACTGGCAAGGGAGGTCCCATGATGAAACAACAAGAGATGTCACTCCCCTGCCCTCTACTGCTCACTATGCCCACTGCACCTGTTTCTTGCACATGATGGTCACCCATCAACAAGCACTATCCAGGCTCACTTCTGTTGAGATTTTTAGATCTCACGAGATCAGGTGCATCTCGAGTGATTTGGTCATAGGCTCCATGTATTCCCAGATAAGGTTCACCCAGACTCAGGACTCTATTTTTACAGGGCCCTGCATTCAGTCTGTTCGGCCAATTCCTCTTAATGAGTGTTTTACGTGCAGCCTGGAAACATTTGAACAAAAAAAACCCACGCCTACGATGAGATAGTGATGAAAAATATCTGCACACTGGATGAATGCAGAGAAATTCAATAACGTTTTCTGGACTGTCATCTCCTAGCCACCTTGCAACCGAAGGAGTTCAGGAGCTTCAACAGCAACAATAGAGTCTCTGTTGATCCACCAAATTCTCTCTACTACAACGCGCTCGATCACAGGTGGGAGAGATCCATTTCCAGGTGGCATCACAACCATTCACTCCGTCTCACTCGCATCTCCAATGAGCGCGGTTGGCTACGTACGATGCAAAATAAGTTCGACAAACATACATATATGATAGTGGTGGTGATGATGTTGATGGTCGTAATATTGAGGAGGTACCTGCATGATGATGATGTGTGGTATGTTGACGTTAATGGTGGTGATGGGGGTGACGTGGCCGTCTGGAACGCTCTTCCTTCCGATATTAGGAAACCACTGGAACTATGGACTTTTAAATCTGGATGAAAAACGAATTTCATTAAAACGTAATGTTTGGTTTTATTTTTCAATTTAAAGCTTTCGTGACTGCAGGGATGTTTGGTATTTAGTTTGCAGACCTTTCACCGAACCTCTGATTAGCACGGTTGTCTACACATACGGTGCGAAAGAAGTTCCACATCCATGTAGAGATACACACATTCGTGGAACCAAACTATAACCGCTTTCCAAGCCATAGGAAAAAGAAGGCAGGTGTGGTTTTACGCATTGTTCTGCTGCGTGGATGTGCGCTGCTGTACTGCATATATTTCGATATCTAGTATTGTTTCCAGGGCTGTACCGCGTGTGTGTGGTTTGTCGCGCAATGCCTGACGTTTCGTTTCACGTGCTCTGAAGAAGTTCCCAGACACACGGAGCATCATGTCGGGCACAATCCACAGTAATACAATTCTAAGGCACACATTGGAGAGCCACACGTATCTTTGTTTTCCACACTGTCAGTGTTATTTTATGAGTCAAGTCGAGTCAATGTTACTTATAATTACTTGGTTGTAGCCTTCATGGCTGAGACCTGCTATCCATGGTACTGCAGGAGGAATCTGATAAGGCTATGAAGCAATTTTTCACAGATGTCCAGTAGGGGTGGGTCAGTAAGTTACAACAACAACAGAATACAACAAAGGATACCAGAGTAAGATAGAGAAAAGTTAAGCAAGTCAATACAAAATAAATACATATAGATATAGCATGGAAGTTCAAATTTCACTGGTATATACAATTTTCATAGATTTGTCAAAATCAAATGTAGGTCTGGGAAAGGCAGCAAAACAAATATAATAACAATTCAAGGCAATACATTCTTTCGTTTACTTTGAAAAAACATAGTTTAATGCCACAAAGTAGGTGGCCATGCCTTAAAAATATTTTGTGCAAAGACCACAAGTGCATCTTCCGTTTTTATCAAGGTGGGTGCGAACCTCTCCTTTCATACAACACGTATGTATTATGCATGTTGAACTTCTTTCACACTGTACGTATCCAACCGTGCTCATCAGAAGTGAGGGGGTGGGGGTGAAGGACAAAAATTAAACACAAAAGCAGTTCTAAAGAAATGAGTTTTCAACCTAGATGATTTAAAAGTGTATATCTCCAGAGGCTTCTTGGTATTGGAAGGAAGAACGTTCCAGACGGCCGCAAAAAGCGCATTTGGAAGCGCGCGATGTGGTGACCGTTTTTGTTCGATGGTTATCCACAAGCTCCTGCGAGGAAAATCACAGTTTTCGTGATGGTTTATGCTCCTTGACGAGATCTGCAAATTATTGTGGTTAATTTGTGGCAACCACTTTTTGTATATTGAGTGCAAAAACAATTAAAGAAAATGTAAAATACGTTAGTAAAAGTGTTTTTGTATCCACCAATTATACACGGCCTTTATGATGCCGTTATTAAAGGTGAATCAGTTACTCTATCAACTCATTGTTTTGGGGTTGTTACGAATGCGAAAATGCACCATGAATGTAAAAGCCCCATTGTTGCCCCTTATTTTTTTAAGTGCCTCGGAACGTTCGGTTTGGCCCATCACGACCCACGGTACATCGTATGCAATCATAGGACTAAACATATAAAGGGGGGGGGGTGGTTGGGGTGGTTGGGGGGGGGGGGTTGAGGAGAGCATCAAAATTGCATTTCAATTGGAGCAGGCATATTTTGTCCGACGAACACACACCGCTGTTGTTTGAGAAATTAAATTCCCACAGTGATTTCCTCACCGACCAAACCCCGTAAGCAGCTATTCCGTTCGGTCATTTCTTCGGCAATACGGCACAAATGCGATGGAGCCAAAACCTTAGCTGTAGTTTATCAAATTACGTGCTCATGTATGCGCTCTTGGTCTGCACAAACCACCTCCCCAACATTTTATATATATATTGCTATGTTTATTTGACCCTCTGTGGCCCGAAGCCCAATTTCATGCTGTGAAACTATCTGGCAAATGTTCCCGGGCCTCAAGGCACATTTACGAGCGTTTGGTCTTCGCGGAAAGTGGTAGGTAGCCGGGTTCCTACAGGGTTTCAAGAGAACCCTGCTGTTTTTCATTAGGTTCTCGTTGAGATGTTTTGCTGATCTCTGCCCGTCTGCTACTCTGTAACTTTATCGCCTTGCTCTCCGAGGGTGTCCAAATCTGTATCTCAAAGCCACGGCTATTGTCCAATGTCCACTGGTATGTCAAAACGATTTGCCTGTTTCGGGTGCTTAAATGCGTTGACATTCAAAAGCACCTTGCATCACAGCTTATCTGAAGTGTACCATTGCCCCGCTGCTATTTAGCCAAGGGAACCCCAGTGACAACTGCCCCTGTGCAGCACGTGGTGTTTTCTATCAATATATATAAAAGTCACAATCGAGATTCATGCAGCACCACTCATCGCCCCCCCCCCCCCCCCCCACTGCAAAACACTTAGAAGAATTCTTATGAAAATATAAACTCGAGAATCAGTCAGGCGTAATAATGTAAGGGGTAAATCATATTAATAAAGCAACTGCCTGATCACGACCTCTCTCCAAATCTGCCATCAGCTATTTAAATATTTAAACAATAAACGATCAACTATTTGTATTTTACTATGAATTTCCACTGAGCTATATAGTTCTTTTAGGATATGGGCATTTGTAGCATCAGCCAAATTCTCTAAACGCATGTTTCTAAAATGTGGAGGGGAAAAACCGGAGGGCCCAGAGAAAAATCCACGCAACCAAGAGGCATCAGGGTCGATATCGATCCCACGATCTCCTGTATACCAGGCGAGGTAGTTAAGATCTCACGACCGTGGCAACCACGGGTTGGTGAAGATTTGCGACAAGGGGAATGTACCTCACACATTTGGGCCATGCAGTCACTTGGGAGGCACACATCACACATCCCAATCACGTGGTTTATCGCTAAAAATGATGGTGAGAAAAAATGTGAAATTCATTTTTAAAAAAGTTCGGGAGAATTGCGTTTGGTAAGGTTCCACATGGGTTTTTGGTTTTCTTTTAGTTTGTTCCATGAAGTATCAGACACTCTTCTATAACCGACACCAAGGCAATTAAATTAAAGGTGTGTGGGGCAAGCTTGCGAAACCTTGTAGTGTTAAAATGACTTATTCACAATCCACTTCATTGAAACGCAGCCACCATAAGCAGAAATCTTGGCATGGCACTGTGTACGAATCGGAGAATGTCGATGCTGAAAGAAAGTTGGATCATATAACTGGAAGGATCGGGTGATTCACTAAATGAAAAGCATGACATTGGCAGCGACGCTTTTGAAACTGTTTCAAGGCCTCATAAAAGTTAGAAATTTCACTTTCTCAGAGGTGTGATCTACAAGCCAGTGTAAGTGGGCACTGCATTGTGGGTATAAAGCAATGAATGGATTGCATGTTGAATTCCTAGTGAGTATTCTCATCATTAGTGTCAGCTTTAATTTACTGCATCCAGATACATGTTTCCTCCGCATTGTCCGTCAGCTATGCCTCACGGTCCTGCATTGCCACGATCCATCTCATCTCTCCATCTAGACGGTGATCGTGCAATGCAATTATTTTTTTTCCCATATAGAAAGTGCTTGTAATAATTGCTTCACAACTTTGAAAAGGCCTTGCTTTTTTAGAGCTTGGATGAGCTGCGTCAGTTTCCTCCAGTGTAAAATTTTATTTGCATAGTCGATGAAATCTGTGGATATAAGAGTCACCTCCGATTAGCACGGTTGGCTACGTAGCGTGCGAAAAAAGTTCAACATACGTACAGCCACATGAGTAATTTTTCGAATCGGTCTCGTCTCCGTTGTTTTTTACCCCAAATAATTGAGGCATTATTCCAGAATGAGGGTACTGCATATCATTTATCTATATATATATATCTTATAAGAAAAACTCCCGTCGTTTTAATGCCAAGAGCTGGTCCTGTTTATTTGAAAAATGCTCTTTGCACATAAGTTTTATTTTTCTTCAAAATTGCTGCGGGTATCTCTTTAAGACACACAGCGTTAACGTACTGAAGTGAAATAAAATAGATGAAATTTAATTCCCTCACAAAAATATATATAATAAAGTGTAATGAAGCTGCAAGTCTGGTGTGATAACCATTACACCGCGGGAACATCCCGATTTTGAAAATGATATGGATTTAAAAAGATAAAAGAAGATAAATGGATCACACTTAATTCATGCTATTCTTTTAATGTTGTATTGAAACAAAGAATAGACCAAGGGACGGATGTTGGCAGTGGCAAAAAAGCACAACAACAACAAAAACACCCCATGGTCAACCTAGTATCATAATCAGAATCTGTATTTATAGTGGAGGAATCCGATGAGATATAGAGCTCTTTTTCATAGACGTCCACTAGGGGCGGATAAGAACGTTACAACAACAAACAGTACATAAACATGATAGTAGTGCAAAGTACAAGAAAGGTAAAGAAATCACGCGAACATATACAAATGAAACGAAAACCATCCCATCCGAACAGGCAAAGCCCTCTGAAGTATTAAATGCCGCGACTCTAAGCTTAAATATACGCTCCAAGCCTGGGGTGTTTCATTCAGACGCTGTCTTCCCGACAGACCTGTTATTCACATGAGGACGGCTGCTTGCGTTGTGGCCGAAACGTCGTGAGAATTATTTTATTATGTTTTATTTTTATTATTTTATTATTTCCCTTCTACGTGACTTTACCGAAAGAACCAAGAAGATGAATCCCTGCAGTCACGAAAGCTTTAAATCGAAATTTAAGTATTAACTTGTTTTTCAGAAGCGACCTGGCCTCAAATGATCGCTCAACAAAGTGGCCCATCACTTGGACATTTATAGCACCATTAATAATTATCTAAATAATCTCAACGCATGTTTATAAATATGGAGGGAAAACCCAGAGGACTAAAAAAACCCACGTGACCACTGGGAGAACTTGCAAACTCCAAATATACAGCAGGCGCCAGAGTCGGGATCGAACCCCCGCACTCCTGCTTACCAGGCGAGGAAGATGACATCTCACCACCGTGGTGCCCCTTTAATAAATAAAGTATGTAAGTTTAAATTGCATCATCAATTCCGAAGCTTCGGAAAGGCAGTAAAACAACAGCAAAAACAGTCCCTGCCTCAAAACAGAAACACACATAATGGCCGAACATTTCGCTAAATTGCCTCTTTTTTATCAGAGCGGAGAGCAGACAGGTGAATAGATCTGTAGTTGGTGATAAAATAACGCTGCCATGGCCGTTTTAAAAACGTTCAGGTTGCAAATTAATCGTTTAAAATTTGGTAGGGGGCGGAGAAAACAACATCTAAGATCGATCAACGAAAATTTTCATTCGTCAATTTTAAACTTTTCAAGGCATCGCCGTGTAAGATGCCCAATAATCTTTTTTCACAGTTGGGAATTGATTTCATGACCCTGTTGCGGTGAGGCACAAGGTGTTACAACTGCGATGCCATACAACCCGCCACCCAATACCGGCAGACTTTCTAAAAAGTCGCAGCGTGATGTGGTCTCTGACATAGAGATGTCTCGTGCGAATTGTCACCTTAAATGAAGGAAACCAATGGCTGACTTGATAGTGTGAAAAACATTGTCATGGAGGAAGGTGCGGGCGGTGGGGGGGTGAAAGCAGCACTCTCCCCTTGACAAGTGCTTACCTAACGTAAGTTTGTATGCGAGCATATGTGACCATAATCCTGATGCATGCCTTCTTGGCTCATTCTGCCGTGTCACGGGAGAGACGTTACATTCGGTGTGTTTGTGCTCCTCGTGTCAATAATTGCTGTCGTGATTTTATCGTCGGCAACTCCGCTCGATAAAAGAGACTGCCACAAGTTGGTGATGCGACGGAAACACCGCAGCTCGTTTGAAAAGCATTCTGCAAGGCATAACGTTGCCGCTTTTGACGCACTTATATGAAGATAAATAATACGTTAATTAAAAAAAATGAATCCGATAGCTGAGAGGAGAA